GGAAGAGGAGAGAAAAATGGCAGGATTCACTTCACATTTGAGAAACATTTGTTAGCACTGAGGTCGTCATCAATTCCAAAGCAAAAGCTCAGACACTGTACTTTCAAGGTTGTGGTATCTTAAAAGCATGCAGGCAAATAAACAGCTGAAGTTTCATGTTTGCCTTTTCAGAGACAGATAAGGCACAGATAGGAGTTCAGAACACATCTACAGTCAGGCATTGTTTGTTCTCCAGGAAAATGTAAGCTCCCTTAACAAACAGCACTACTGGAAACAGAAACTGGGCCCCACAGAAGGTCACTATTACCTTCACTCACAAGCAAGGAGGTCTCGTATTGAGCCACGTGAGAAAGAAACAGGAGCACTAGCCTCTGCCTGAAGCCCTGCCTGAGACTCCACAAGCTAGCCATCACATATTTAGACTCCTTTGCAGAGTAGGGATAAAACAGTATCACACTAACATGTATTCATGACCTTCTTCACCATGATTGCATCTCACAATCACTAGCATATTTACCTCCTTTGTGAAGCAGAAACTACTGCAGATGGGAAAGGGAGGTCTGCCTGTATCACACACCTCAGTGCTGTACTAGCAATCCTCCATTAGCTTCAAATGCTGTGAGGTCTTCTTGGTCCAGAGCAGGCAAAGCGGGTCACCAACACGGCCCTAGAGGCTCGTATCCTCAGCAGGGTTAAAGAGCTCCCAGGGAGGGCTGCACCAAGTCCCAGAGCTAGATTTTGGCTGATACCAGCCCCAGGATCTCTGCACAACGCTGTGTTGTGCAAGCCAGACCACCCCAGGCAGACTGAGGAGCTGGGCCCCAGTCAGATGGGAAGTCTGTGGTAGAGCAAAGAATTGAATCCAGGTCTCTCAGCCACTGAATTACAGCTCCAGTCCACCACAGCAACCACATCACAGCCCAGCCACTCATGCCATTGTTTGCTTATGCAGCAGCAGAGTATCAACTGGCCTGAATGCACCAGAAAACATCTACACAGGCATCTGGGTACTCACAAACCCACTTGAGTTGTCTTGGCTGAATGCCTCACTCAGCCTGCCAATAACTCCATCTACCCAACAAAATGGGACTCAAGATATTATTTTGTCTACTAGGGATTTCTGAGCAACTCCATTTTATCCACTTTGTAAAAAGCTGTAACAGTCACCAGCCCCAAGGCCTCAGAAAGCAGTGAGCTACTAGGGCTATGTGACTGCATTTAAAATGGTGCGATGGTTGAGTATGTCCTGAGCTAGAAAAGTGGTTTCACTCCACCTGTTTCATTACTGCTTTCTTTAATGCACACATTTCAGGAAGCAAAACCAGTGTTTCCCACATGGACAGTCACTGGAGGACCCACCACTATATGTGACATGCTGTGTTATGCTTCAGGCTCCGCATCTGCAAGACAAGATCAAGCTTCCTTAAACAACAAAAAAAAATACTGGGTCATGGGAAAACACAGCAATATGGAAAAGCAAAATTGCTGCAGCCCAGGCTGCAAAGAAACACAGTGGAAGCAACCAAGAGCCAGAGCTGCTGTGCTACGAATCTTTCATAGACCACTGCCACAAGATGCAGTAGTCATACTAAGTCAGAAGCACTAAGACTTGCGCACATTTACTGCCTCTCTATGTGCAGGTGGGTAAAGACATCACTCCATAAAAAGACCTGTGCAATCATTCAGTTTACAGTAGTGTCAGTGATGAAGAATCATAGAATCATAGAATAGTTAGGGTTGGAAAGGACATTAAGATCATCTAGTTCCAACCCCCCTGCCATGGGCAGGAACACCTCACACTAAACCATGCCACCCAAGGCTTTGTCCAACCTGGCCCCGAACACTGCCAGGGATGGAGCATTCACAACTTCCCTGGGCAACCCATTCCAGTGCCTCACCACCCTAACAGGAAAGAATGTCCTCCTTATATCCAATCTAAACTCCCCCTGGTTAAGTTTTAACCCATTACCCCTTGTCCTGTCACAACAGTAAGAAGTCTGTAAACTTGGAACTAGATGATCTTAAGGTCCTTTCCAACCCTAACGATTCTATGATTCTGTAACACCAACTCAAGGAACATCAAAAACCTAAAGCCATATAAGATATTCATACCTGAAGAAGCAGAAATTAAAATAAGAGATTTCCTCTGGCAGCTCCTCACATGCTCCAAACTCTGTAAAATAAGAACAGAGCAGATGGGATATACTGATCATGGCACCTGGATTAAAATCGTATCAAACCAAACGAAAACTAAAAATGTCAGCGGCACATCTGACTGTTCCACCGTGGCTCCCCAGGGCATCCTTTCAACCACATACCAGGGGCAAGCTGCAGGCCCTTGCTTGCAGCTACCACCTTGCCCTAAGAGGGTCTGCCAGGCTGGCAGCCCCCCACCTCCATCCCTACCCCACCTCTGCCCTGGCACCTGTGCTGGTCCCTGCAGCACCAATGCCCAGGACAGCCAGCAACCCATACCAAACTTTATCAACAATTGATATTTTCAGATCCCTCTTTCGTACTTATTCATTTTTTTTCTTAGAACACAAAAACTCGGCAGATCCATACAGGGTAAAGCACAATTCCAGGTGGCCCTGCCCTGTACCCTGCAGTGAGACCGCTGTATCATGCCTGCCCGTGGTTTATGGCCAGCGAACATGCCTCCAGCAGCTTTTAAACCACACAGTCCCTCGTTTGAGAGGCAGCCGGGAGGTCGCAGGTTATTACGAGGGAGCTTCTGTTGCCGCCTCGCACACCCTCAGGCCCCAGGGGCCGGAGCAGGAACCAGGACGACGCCGGGGTCAGGCAGGCAGGGCGATGGGCAGGGCGGGCAGGCAAACGGAGGTGGGGGTAGGACCGCAGGAAAGTAAGAAAGGGGGGCAGGAGGCAGGGCAAAGGAAGGTACGCTCCAGCCGGGGGCAGCAGAACAGGCAGGAGGCAGGGGAAGGCCGAGGGGAGTGAGGGTTCTGGGGCTGGCGGGCAGGCGAGCAGGCCGGAGGCAGCAGCGCGGGCCGGGTCGGGGGGAAACGGGGGCAGCTCCGCTCCTGCCCGATCTCTCCCGGCCGCCCCGCAGCCCGGTTCCAACCCGCAGGGCGCCGCGGCCGGCCGCGCGGAGGAGGGGTGTGAGTGGAGGCCCAGCAGACGCGTCTCCTACCTCACAGCGCGGCCATGGCTCCGGGCGGCAGGGCGCCACAAACTACATCTCCCAGGAGCGGCCGCGGCAGGCACCGGCGGGGCAGGGACCGGAGCTGTCTCGTACCCTTGCCGCGCCCTTGCGCCTGTCCCCCAACCGCACCGTGTCCCGGCCGCCGCCTGAGGCCGGAGCAGAAAGAGCCCCGTGTTTCTTACCCCGGAAATAATAACTGTGAGGTAAAACAGTTCCCACATGCCCTGGGGGTGTAGGTGCAAGGGCAAAGCCGGCCAGGTCCCCGTAGAATCAGAGTGGTTTGGGTTGGAAGGGACCTTAAAGATCATCCAGAACCAACCCCCTTCCATAGGCAGGGACACCTTCCCCTAGACCAGGTTGCTCAAAGACCCATCCAGCCTGGCAACAGCCTCAGCTGCTGCCTGTTTTTACCAGAGCAAGTAGGACCCGAGCGGGTCCGAGGCAGCTTCTGGGGATGCTGGTGCAGCCGTACAAGTGCCCCAAGCATGGTCCCCCGGCTGTACCTTGCCAAAAGGGGCTCTCCATGAGTGCAGCGTGGCCCCGCTGCCCGCTCTGTGCAGCAACCCAATATCTGTTTTTGTAGCCGGTGGGCACTGAGAGGAAGGGAAGCCTCGCAGCCTGGTTGTGGAGCACACCCATGGTGGGAGCAGGGGAGCTGGCAGACATTCACAGACCACCCGGGGAGGTGGGGGAAAGGGCACATGCTGGAGAAGAGAGGCTCCCCACAAGGCTGTGCTCTGGGACCTGACAAGTCTTCCCCAGCCCTTGCAGGCTGAGATGTCACAGGCTTATTCCTATGCCAGCAAAAGTCACATCAGGAGCATGACAGCAGCTACTGTGCCCAATCTCGAGACCAGTCTCCAAAGCAAGCCAAAGCTTCCCAAGAGAAGAAGCCCTTTTCATTTCTTTTTAAGATGAGCAAAACAAAATTGTTAGAACCGTGGTGCCAGACATGGCTGAAGTGTTTCAGCCAAAACTGTCTAAAAACAAACAACAAGCCCACACGATAGACAGACGGCATGGGAACTTTTAGCTTCAGCAATTTAAGTCTGGCAACGTGAATAGGAGCTAAACCTACAAAACGAAGCATGTTTTAATACCAGAAGTGTCACTAGTTCTGCTTCTTGTTATTCCCCAAGAGCAGGCTTTGTGATACTTCAGCAGCACATGAGAAGACAAACCATCTTGAAAACCCATTTCCTAGCCATTGGAAACAAGTACCTACCATGGAAATCCCTTAGGAAGCATGGCAGTGGGACAGCTTTGGTAACTGGGTCTGGAAATTCCTCCTCTGAAAGCCAGAAGGCAGGATCTCAGTGGTTTAGACTGAGCCCTGGCTGATGGGATGTAACCAACACCTCCATCACATGGCTTGCACCCCAGATAGACATTACTCTGGAGAACCAAGGAGCAGCAGAAGAGACAGGTTGGCCAGTTATGGACTTGAGGACAGATAATGAACCTCTGGAAGCTGCCCTACACAACTAGGACATGAGCTTAGCAGCTCTACTGCTATAAACCAGACCTTGTCAAAAGGCCGTGGCTTAACCTTTGCTGCCAAGGAATAGTGAAATAAAAAAAAGACAGATCATTAAGAAAACAGTTTTGAACAAATGTGTGTAGGTAAAGGTTACCTCCTATGATTGATTCATACTGTAACACATTGTTCAGTCAATAAATGGAGATTTTGGTATTTTACTGTACATTTTTAAGTTGGGCTTAAGTCATACAGTTTGGATCTAAATCAACACTTTTGGCCACTAATTCACAGTTATTCTGTTCTGGGAACATCCAGATCTGCTTCTGGATTTAAAAAATTCTTAAAAAAGTCAAGTAATTCATTCGCTCATTCTCTTGGTTTTATTTTCCTGAAGAACAGAGTATGAAAGCAAAGCACAATCACGCATTTTTCTTGGGTGTTCCCTGAGCAGCCATGCCAGAGTCCTCATGGGAAGCAGTAATGTTGATTTCCTCAGCACTCTGTTTCGCATTGTCCTGTTTGTTAATTTAACAAACAGTTTCACATCTGTTTGTAATTCCAGTGAGTTCCCTGCACGTGGCTTTATGATTTCCTCATTGCAGATGTTGTCAAAAAGTCAAGGTGATCCAGGGCTTGTTTTGTCCCTTGCACCTGGGTTTTCGTGGATCACACACTTGAGGTCTTCTCGATTCAGAACCTGGCTTTTATACTTCTCGCCCCAGTCCTCAACGATGTACTGATGATAGGGATCATTGGAGTGCTCTCGCCTCTTTGACTTCACAGTACTCACCAAGATTGCCACAATAATGAAGGAGAACATCCCAATCATCACCATTAAATAAAGAATAACATAGTCAAAGTTTTCAGCATCAACCTTGGCTTGCAATTTGTCTGCTGCTTCCGTCATGTTTCTCCTCCAGCCATTCATGTAAGTGAGAAAAGTTTCCTTGAAAATATCTTCTACTGCCCAAGTGAAGTTTTGTATCTCATTCATCCTTGCAAGTTATGGCTCTAAAGACAACATGGTATTTATTTTAAGTAAATATCTATACTGAAACAGTTACATTGCTTTCTTTTGTCTGCATTATGACAATTGGCTAATAGCACTTTCCACCTGCCACTTGAAAGTGCAGTACTAATTTTAGATAAGCTGAGAATATTCATCTCTGAGAGGTTCAGTATGTTCAGAGACCCAAGGAGGTCTTATACCTCCTCTCACTTGGGTCACTTTTAGCCTGTGGGAAGCCAGATACACCTTGGTGAAGACCAGTTAGCATGGGCCCCCATGACCCACGTTACAGGGGTTGAGGCACCCTGCCTTCACTACTGAGGCAAAACACTGAGTGAAGAAGCATTTTGCCCAGAAGACAAAGCACATACTGGGTCCTGTGTTAAGGCTGGCACATTGCCACTACAGGCAGCTTCCTAGGATCTCTCAGGGAGGGATGTGACTCCCCTTTCTTGTTTGGTGTCAAACATTACATCTGGTGTGAAGGCTGGTGTACCCATACAATCTTAGATGAGTCTGTGGGAGCATAATAGCCAGACAGCTAACTCCTAAATGGTAGCCTGATAGACAGAGAAGGGACAAGGAAGCAGAGCCCTCATACCTGAAATGGCTTCTTGGGTCATTAGGGTCAGCCATCCCAAAGGGGCAGGGATGCTGAGCAGTGCTGCAGAGCCACATCTGTCCTGCCCCTCTTCCAGCTATCCCAGACCTTGCCACAGTCAGACCCAGCTGTTCTTCAGAAAAGCATGAATCAGGTCTCCATCCCACAGGAGACATTCTCAAAGGCCTGATTTCAGTGTTGCTAGTATTGCTAGCAGAGGGGCAAAGGGTCCTACTGAGGGTCCCAGGCTGTTAACCCTTGAACAGAGCAATGGGGAGAGATGAAAGAGAGATACCTACTCAGCAGTTGATTGCTTGTCAGTCCAAATTGTCCCCTGATCCAGTCACTCTCCCTGATCCATCTGGTCCTGCTTGAACTGAGCTAGATCTGGGGCAGAAACTGGCACATACTGACTCCAGTGAAGGAGTTCTCAAGAAGCTCTGAGAAGTACCACTGTCCTCTGCCTTTCCTACATAAACAGGAGGGTTTCACTGGATTGCGGCTTCCTAGCCTGCAGAAAGTGAAGGGTATGTTACAGCATTTCAGTCTGGTGCTCCTCTATAATATCTGTCCTTTAATGCTTCAGGCCAACCAAACCCTACACAAAGGGCAAAAGCTTCCAAGAAAAGTCACTTGATCTCAGTGCAGTCTTCAAGCAGCGATGAGCTTACTGCAGACTATGGTAAGAGACAGTGAGTTTTCATCACTAATAAGAAATTGCAGTGTCTTTTGAACTGGAGTTCAGCAGTCTACCTACCTTTTACTTGTTGAACTAGCTTTGCAACATCAGCGTGCACACACACACGGAAAGGCGCAGGTACACATGCATGTAGATCTCTGCAATTATATACTCACACTCAAACATAGGGGATAAAGGTAATCTATTTAAATTAAACAAGCTATGGGCAAAACCAAATGGAGACTGTCTTGAAACTTTTTAAAATCTGCATTTTCCTTGAATTCAGAACAAAAATCACTGTGCTGTTTCAATAATAAAGAGTTACCAACAGAAACTTACCTTTCCTGTGACCTTCTCTAATGAGATTCAGGATTAACACTCAGGATTTTAAAACTCCACTGGATAATATGATGACAGTCTTGTAAGGAGCAGAGAGAGCTTAAAGTTTTAGTCTCCAGCCTGCATAAGGGTGTAAGCAACTGTCTGTTAAATAAGTGCCTTGTACTGCATGCTTTGTGTTTATATTAAATTAAATGCTAAATCTAATCTCACCTGGAAAGTCAAATATTGGCTGACAGCTTACATCAGTCGTCCTGTCAGATGCTGAGTATTACTCTTTATGCTTATTACTGCAATTTCTTGTACTGCAAAAGAGCACTGCTGGGCTTTCCTAGCCCAGTGGTAAGCACTGGTGAAGCTTGATCTTTGTTGACACATACAGAAGAAGAGTAAAAATGAGCTATGCAGAATAATGATGATGATGATGATGGTGAAGAAGTAGAAGAAGATGGTGATGATAATAATAGTAATAATAATAATGATTCCCTTGGCTGGTGTGGGCACGAAAGGCTGAGAACTGAGCAGTCAGTGAGAAAGGTCTGCCAAGCTGTCAGGCTACTTAGTGCCCACAGTTTGCCTTTCCTTCTCTTCCACCAAGATCATGCTTGTTAGTGACCCACCCATGCATGAAGCCTTTGCTGTGAGAAGCAGGTCCTCATACACAGCCAGGATCAGTCTCTCTGAGCTCTGCTCCCTGTGTACCTCACTCATGATCTGGAGCAGGAAAAGACAAAAACTTACTAAAAAACAAAGTGGAATTAATGCTGATTTCATTTCTGTCAAGTAGCACATGCTGACACCTAACTGAAAGGCTCTGAGTCACATCTTAGAAAATAGCAGTGTGTTCAGTGAAATGAGGCAACTTTGGTTGCAGTTCACAGAGAAAGCAATTTCTCAGGTAGCTCTGCTTTCAGGAAGATAAAGCAAACATGAACTACCACTGGAACAACAGCACAAGTCAGAAAAAGGGAGATATGCTCATGGCGTGGAAAAGTGTTAATCCCTGAGGGAACCCTGCTAGTGCTGTGCTTCTGACATTGTCATGGTTACTGCTATCATTGCTTCTGGATAATTTTCTGTGCATGAGCATCTCCCAGCACGGGAGTGAGCTGCTGGCAATATTTCTTCTCTGATCCCCTTCTTCTCTCTGGCAATTTCCCATGTGCCCTCGGCTTGGCCCTCAAAGTTGAAGTAGCTGGCAAGCTGCTTCTGTTTGCTTTGATGAAATCCATAAGTCAGAGTGACCACGGCAAGCCCAGACTTCTGCATCATGTAGCCAGAGACATGCACTGGTTGGTCCTGGCTCAATAAAGCCACCTAGGACCACCAGTATGCTCTTAGAGGAACTCCCAAATGCAGGGATGTGAGCCTCGGTGTGACAGTAAGAGAGCAGCCATAGCACTGGAGGTTCCCAAGCAGAGTAGCTTGGGAACTGCTGCCATGGACTTCCAACTGGGTGGAAGGATTTATCCTTCCTTCAACCAACCTCTTCTACCATCTGTTCCTGGCCAGTCCTGTTTAGCCAATACTTGCAGGCGTACACTCATGCACGCACACAGTCATACCTACGTATATAAGAGATGGATAGGTTGTCAAACAGACATGAAATTTAACTGCCAACTCTGTTCTCAATGAAATTATAAGAGTCCTTGAATAATCCCATCGTGCTGCATGTCCCCTTGAAGGTCACATTTGCTCCGGGTTTGCTTAGTCTTTATAGCAATGAGATGATCAAGGGCAGATAGCGTGGAACTGGTTAAAAAGAAGGAGGGGCAGCCAAATATCTTGAGCAGGAAAGGTGACTGCCTTAATATTAGTCTCCTAAATGGAGACTAACATTAAGTAAAATGCTCCTGATCTCAGTGGAGAGAGGTAGGAACCTGGTTGAGCCTCCTATCTGTACACAAGAGTGGCTGGGTCATAGTAATGGGGAAGAACCCTTGGTGAATGTTAAAAGGCAAATGTCATGCTCATCCTTGAGGAGGGCAGTGAAGGTCCAGGGAGGTGAAGGATGATCAGCCACACCCCAAACCATGTGACAATTAAGGGACAAATCCTTCTGGAAGCTGTTATCAGGCATGTGAAGAACAAAAGGTGATTGGAAACAGCAGCATAGACTTATAAAGTGCAAACTGTGCCTGATCAAGCTGACTGCTTTCTATTGTGAGATAATGGGAGGACTGTTTCAGTGGATGAAGGCAGAGTGGTAGTGGTGGTTTATATTTGCTTTGGCAAGGTTTCAGCATGGTCTTTCATAATATCCTTGTAGCCATATTAGAGAGCTTTGGACTAGATGTCTGGACTCTAGAACTAGCTGGGCTGCTGTCATGGGCAAGATAGAGAAAGTGACAACCCATAGCAGATCTGGATGCTGGGTGGTATGTGAGAACCAAGGAGATTAGAGCTTTTACACCCATCTGCCAGCTCCATTGCAGCAATTGACAATTCATGGATGAGGCAGTGCTGTGGCAACATCTGCTTTTGCCTCCTAGGTGTTGTGGAGCAGATGGGTCCATCCCATGACAGGGTATTGTCATCAGCAGGAGATACACCACATGTAAATATGTACAGTATTTAACAGTATAAACAACATTACAATTGGATTTATTTTCACATGTAGCAGCCCTGTGGTCTTGAAGGAAGACATTTCCTTTTTCAATGTACAATAGGCTCAGAACTGAGTGATAATTGTTTGTAACTTTAATTATTGATAATCCTTCTGTGACTGTGCAGTGATGTATTTATTTGTTGACTATTTTACAAATCCTTTGTTAGTCTTACTGGTGAGATGGTGAAGAAGGTAGCAGACATACTGAAGATGTTGTGATTAGGCCCAGATCTCATAGGAGGGTTTGAGTTCATTAGCGATTCATCTCTCCCAAGATTTTGCAATACCTATTGTGAGCTCGTAAAGGGATACTCATAAATAAGCATGCATACATGTAGCGTACATAGATCATTATCTAGAGGACTGGAATGGGGTGCTCAATTTTCTGTATTTTGGCGATGGTGCATCTTACTTCCCCACCTCATCCTCTGGGCTGCTCTATGATTCTGGAATTTCTGCCAGACCTTAGACTTTGTATAATGAATTGAGTGATGAAGTGTCCCTTGCCCGTACCAGGAGCTCTTGCATGGCTAAGGAGGAAGGCACTGATTGTAGTAGGGACTTCTGTTCCCTGGCTAAGGTGGGAAGCAAGAGTAGGGATAGTCAGTCATTCCTTGACAGCCTTAGAACACTCCTTCCCTTTATCGTAGCCTGAGTGGAACAGTGCCATTGTTACTGGAGTTTTGAAAAATTCCTAGTAATTACCAACTTGGATTGTGCCCAGTATGGAAATTTACTAATGGCTAAAGCCAATCATTTTGCAACCCTGTGAATAATGGTTCAAAGTGAGGCCCTTTGAGCTCTCCTGTACTGCAGTGGGTGGCAACCAGCATCTCCCTCTGAGTGGGATGTCCCTCAGAGTTCGCTGACTCTCAAGTTTGCAGTAATCAGAGGACCATCAGGACCATTGCCAAGAGATGGAACTTGGGCTCAAGTCCCCCACTCCTAAGACACAACCCTCACCTGCTGAGAAATGCCGAGACATTAGATGTGAATATTTCACTGACTCTAGGGGAATTTTTAAAGTCATACCTTTTATACAGAGGAGGGCCACAAAGATGGTCAGAGAGGTGGAGCTCCTCCTCTATGGAGACAGGCTGAGAGACTTGGGGTTGTTCAGTCTGGAGAAGAGAAGAGAAAAGAGAAGAGAGGAGAGGGGAGGAGAGGAGAGAAGAGAGAAGAGAGAAGAGAGAGAAGAGAGAAGAGAGAAGAGAGAAGGGAAGAGAAGGGAAGAGAAGAGAAAAGAAGAGAAGAGAAGAAAATAGAAGAGAAGAGAAGAGAAGAGAAGAGAAGAGAGAAGAGAAGAGAAGAGAAGAGAAGAGAAGAGAAGAGAAGAGAAGAGAAGAGAAGAGAAGAGAAGAGAAGAGAAGAGAAGAGAAGAGAAGCCGCAGGGGTGACCGTACAGTGGTCTTCCAATACCTAAATGGGGCCTACAAGAAATCTGGAGGACTTTTTACAAGTATACTTGGCCACTTTTTTTCCAATCCTCCATTAGTTGTTTCCCCATATTCTTTACTATAAGCAGACAAACTTTATAGTTTATTTTAAATCATCAGCTGATATATTTTACACAACCTTTGCCATCTTCTTTATAGAAGTGTTGGTTATAGGGTCAATTCTTAGAAAGAAAAGGATATAGCTGTTAAGTATGGTTATTGGAGAGGTATGAACATCCTCTCATATGTACCTATGTAATTTTCCTTCAGTATTTCTTCTGTTCTGGTTAAATCATAATGTTGTACTATTCACTGCCTTTCAGACCTCATGCTTTTGTATGCACAAACTTAGCACACAATCTTCTTAGCCTTTAACTACTGATATGTTGTACTGCTAACTACTGATACATAGAGTGCTGATAGCATTTAATTAGTTTCCCCACTGCTTTAAGATTTTTACCTTCTTGATAGCTCTCCTAGATTCCTTCTGGTACTTACACATTCGCTTATTAGTGAAATCAGCAGTTCTGTCCCTGGATCTGTCTGCTGCTTTTCAAGTTGACTGTCAGGCGATCACCCTGTAAAACAAAAAGACCTACCAAGACCACTAGGTTTTATAGTTTTAGTTTAACTGTTACTGCTGAAATGTTTCCTGTTATGATTACTCACGATTACAACTATTAATTAACTCTGAACTGTTTCTTTACGTTGTTTTTTCCTTATAATCTAGTTTTCACTACATCTTGGTACATTTTCCAGCTCCTTCTGGTCTCTCATAGCAGTGCTGGTAATTGAAGATGTCACCTCTTAATTTTTAGTTTTGCAGCTGTACTGCTAGGTCTCTTACCTGTTTCTTACACTCTTGGACAGAGCCTGTGCAATGGATCAGGAGGTGTAAGCTATCACATCTCCAGAAGCTTTAACTTCTACCTCTTTAACATTTAACTTTACCTCTCTTTGTCATTCCTCTAAGCAAATCCTTATTCATTTGATCTTCTTTCTGCATCCACCCCATGCATGATGGATGTTATTTTATTTCCCAGGGTAAGAGAGTTAGGATTTGTACACTGTTCCTTCCCAAGGGTATGGTATTCAGCACAGCTGGGAGTTTTGATGTCTTGCCCTGTACAGGTTGAGTTTTCTTTTTAAATTAGGAAATCCTTTTGCTAGTGTTTATTTCTTATATAACTGCTCTTCCATCTTCCAGGGAGCAGTGTTTAGAGGTTTCATCCTTAGCCTATTTTTTTTGGTGTTTGTTGGCTGGTAAATACATTTTCTGGATCAACAGTTGTAGTATTCTGTTTTTCTTAGAGATCCTGAAACTTCATTGTGTATTATGCAATTTGAACACCTATTGTAACACTTTGGGTAAGTTTGCAAAGGTATTAACCCCCAGCCTTTCACATAACAACTGGCATGGGTGACAGCCAAGAGGAGCAGCTGATTTGCTGGAAGGTTGGCTGCTACTCAGAGGGATCTTGACAGGCTGTCCCCAAAAGGTTCATAGCTGGTAAAACCTATCTCTAAATATTAGAATAACTTTCTTGTCTGAAGACTGCTCCTTTGTCACCTCAGAAACCCACATCAAGATTCACTGTCTTTAATACCTTGTATATAGAAACAATGAAAAGTGCAGATGGTGGAGAGGGACATCTGGAATAGTCACAGTATCACAGTATCACACAGTATGTTAGAGATTGGAAGGGACCTCGAAAGATCATCTAGTCCAATCCCCCTGCCGGAGCAGGAACACCTAGATAATGTTACACAGGAATGCGTCCAGGCGGGTTTTGAATGTCTCCAGGGAAGGAGACTCCACAACCTCCCTGGGCAGCCTGTTCCAGTGTTCCGTCACCCTCACAGAGAAGAAGTTTCTTCTCAAGTTTAAGTGGAACCTCTTGTGTTCCAGTTTGTACCCATTACCCCTTGTCCTATCATTGTTTGCCACTGAGTAGAGCCTGGCTCCGTCCTCGTGACACTCCCCCTTTATATATTTATAGACACTGATAAGGTCACCCCTCAGTCTCCTCTTCTCCAAACTATAGAGACCCAGCTCCCTCAGTCTTTCCTCATAAGGGAGATGCTCCACTCCCTTAATCATCTTAGTTGCCCTGCGCTGGACTCTCTCCAGCAGCTCCCTGTCCTTCTTGAACTGAGGGGCCCAGAACTGGACACAATACTCCAGATGCGGTCTCACCAGGGCAGAGTAGAGGGGAAGGAGGACCTCTCTCGACCTACTAACCACCCCCCTTCTAATACACCCCAGGATGCCATTGGCCTTCTTAGCCACAAGGGCACAGTGTTGGCTCATGGTCATCCTGTCGTCCACTAGGACCCCCAGGTCCCTCTCCCCTACACTGCTCTCTAACAGGTCATTCCCCAACCTATACTGGAACCTGGGGTTGTTCCTGCCCAGATGCAGGACTCTACACTTTCCCTTGTTATATTTCATCAAGTTACTCCCTGCCCAACTCTCCAGCCTATCCAGGTCTCGCTGGATGGCAGCACAGCCTTCTGGCGTGTCAGCCACTCCTCCCAGCTTAGTGTCATCAGCAAACTTGCTGATAGTACACTCAATTCCCTCATCTAAATCATTGATGAATATATTAAATAATACCGGTCCCAGTACTGACCCTTGAGGCACTCCACTAGTTACAGGCCTCCAACTAGACTCAGCCCCATAGACTACAACTCTCTGGCTTCTCTCCTTCAGCCAGTTCGCAGTCCACCTCACTACCTGATCATCCAGTCCACACTTCCTCATTTTAGCCGTGAGGATGCTGTGGGAGACTGTGTCAAATGCTTTGCTGAAGTCAAGGTAGACCACATCCACCGCTCTGCCATCATCCATCCACCGTGTTATTTCCTCATAAAAGGCTAAGAGATTGGTCAAACATGATTTCCCCCTGGTGAAGCCATGTTGACTGCCCCTCATAACCTTCTTATCCTTGATATGCCTTAAGATGGTACCAAGGATAAGGTGTTCCATCACTTTCCCAGGGATGGAGGTGAGGCTGACCGGCCTATAGTTACCCGGGTCCTCCTTCTTGCCCTTTTTGAAGACTGGAGTGACATTTGCTTTCCTCCAGTCCTCAGGCACCTCTCCCGTTTCCCAAGACTTGGTAAAGATGATGGAGAGTGGTCTAGCAATGACTTCCGCCAGTTCCCTCAGCACCCGCGGGTGCATCCCATCTGGACCCATGGATTTATGGATGTCCAGATTGCTCAACTGGTCTCTAACCCATTCCTCATCGACTAAGGCAAACCGCTCCGTCGACCTGACTTCATCTAAGGTCTCAGGGGTACAGGGCTCTTCAGGACTGCCCGCAGCAGAGTAGACAGAGACAAAGAAGGCATTCAGTAACTCTGCCATCTCTTTATCTTCTGTCACCAGGGCACCCATCCCGTTCATCAGTGGGCCTACATTGCCTCTGGTGTTAGTTTTGTCTGCCATGTATTTAAAAAAGCTCTTTTTGCTGTCCTTGACCCTTCTTGCCAGGTTTAATTCTAAGGATGCCTTAGTCCTCCTAGCTGCCTTCCTACATCCTCTAGCAGCAGCCTTATATTCCTCCCAAGTGGCCAGCCCCTCCTTCCATGACCTGTAAACTCTCCTCTTCCACTTGAGCATACCCAGCAATTCCCTATTTAGCCACGCAGGTCTCTTGGCCCTCTTCCTTGACTTCCTACGTGTCGGGATGCTCCGATCTTGAGCACGGAAAAAGTAGTCCTTTGTGGCTAAATAAAAATACAGAATCACAGAATGGTTTGGGTTGGAAGAGACCTTAAAGATCATCTGGTTCCAACCCCCCTGCCCATGGGCACAGACACCTTCCACTAGACCAGGTTGCTCAAAGCCCTGTCCAGACTGGCCTTGAACACTGTCAGGGATGGGGCAGCCACAGTTTCTCTGGATAACCTGTGCCAGTGCCTCACCACCCTCACAGAGAAGATTTTTTTCCTTACATCTAATCTAAATCTCACCTCTGTCAGCTTAAAGCCATTCTCCCTTTTCCTGCCACTACATCCTCTGGTAAAAAGTCCCTCTCCAGTTTTCCTGTAGGCCCCGTTTAGGTACTGGAAGCTGCTCTAACGTCTCCCTGGAGCCTTCTCTTCTCCAGGCAGAACAACCCCAACTCTCTCAACCTGTGTCCATAGGAGAGGTCTTCCAGCCCACTGATCATCTTCATGGCACTTCCTGGACTCACTCCAACAAGTCAACATCCTTGTGTTTGGGGCCCCAGAGCTGAATGCAGTACTGCAGGTGGGGTCTCATCATGTTTGACAGAGCAACATTTTCCAGTCACCACAGAAGTGAGAGGAAAAGCATTCAGGAGAAAAGTGAATTTTAACCATATTCTGTTATGCAGAACAAGTGTGAGCAAAATTGTGAAGGAAAACCCTTTTTGTCTATGAGAAAAGAATGTATCTCATCAGGATGCATTTGACAGTGAGAGACTGCAGCCTAAGCAGTTTCCCAACACTGAATGCTTGGAGAAAAGCAGAACAAGTCGGGTCCCAAACTCTTGTCTGCTTCTGGTGCCAGGTCTGCACTGCAAGTGAGATACCAGTACCTGCCACCCTGCCAAGAAATGCACTGCTCCCCTCAGCCCAAACTGCAAGGTTGGAGAAATCATGGCCAGGTGGAGACTGCAGTCATGCAGCTTTGTTGCTATGGTTTTATGTGTTGCTGTTGCAAAATCTGTAGAGGATAAGTAAGGGTGTTGCCTGCACATAGCATTTAAATGAAAAAAGGAAATGCTATTATTTCACCATGTCTGATGCTTAGCTTAAAGTGACTTAGGGAAATTGTCTCCTCAGCCTGTTTGAGATCACCCTTCTGAAAGTAAGAGGGAAATTAAACACTTTTCCAAACAATTATGGCTTTTTTTCCACAGGGACAGCTTTTACTTGGGACAGATAATTCTGAGGGAAGCGTTGTCCAACACGCTGCAGGTAAGGGGCACCCTCACATCAGCCCTGTAGAACATGAGCTG